GTTGCAATGGGAGATCACTGTGGCTGCACCAGTCTTTATCAGTTTGGATTATTTTTTATCTATAAATGCCTTGCTGATGCAATGATACAATAATAAAAATGTGGTTGAAACTCTGCAGTCAGTTGCATATAAGTGGGAACTACCTAAGTGGGAACATTTTATAAAAAAAATAAATTATGCAAAGCTGGAGTTACGTCGTGAAGGAAGATGAGAAAAAAACACCTTTTAAACCGTATGTAGCTTTAGTATGCATATTTACACGGTAATATCTCCACTTTTAATATTTGGATGAAATAGTCGGTCATCAGATTCAGATTCCTTCATAAACTGACTAATTTGTAGCACTGGCTGTGGTTGTACCAGGCAAAGAGTAATAGCCACTCAACTTGATTTTTCCTTATACTTTACATGACTTATTTAATCTGGTGAAATGTTTCTTTGTAAACCTTTCCTTGAGTATTCTCAAAGGTTTTTCTCACGCTTGAAATTAAGTTTTCATTAGTACATCACTCATCATAGGGTTGCATGACGAGGTAGAATTACTTGGCAGCAGCGGTTTGGCCAAAAGGTAAGTTGGTGCAGTTCATACCCTGGATGCCTTCGCCACTGCAACCCAACCTGGAATCTGGGACTAGATGGAATCAAACCCAAGACCTTCTGCAATACAGGCAGGAAACCCCCCCCCCACCCCCCAGTTAGCCACAGCTGTGCATATAGTATAAACTGTTTTGGACTTTTAGATTTTCATTCAGAAATTCTGCCCATTTCTGAGCATTTATTTGTAATAATTTATGGATTGGTAAATCTAATCCCTCTCCTTAATCCCCTGTATGGATAGTGGAATTAGCATTTGTACATGAATGTGTGTGGAGTCTGTGGTGTGGTGACGTCTGAAGGTCCATCAGCAGCTCATGACATGCATCATTGTGTTAACCCTGTACCTGAGAAGCCGGTCAAGTCCATCGCTTTGAGGTTGGTGGCCTTGATGATTGTGACAGTGAGTCTGCCAGCGGTTGGCAGGTAACACAGCGAAAAATTAAGCTCCCCGAGATCAGCCTTCTCCTGTGGGTCACCACACACACACACACACACACACACACACACAGAGAGAGACACACAAGAAAGAAAGAGCAACAGATCAGAAACTGGTGAGAGCACTGTGATCACACGGCATCAGAGACTGAGAAACGTCAGCCAACAGACACACTCTGTTTATGGACGATTGTCTGTCGCCTGAAAAGAGCGACGCTACATCTGTGACCGATGACGGGTGACATCGAGCCTCCTAATGTGGGCCGACAGAGTGTTTAGGCAGAGGGGCAGCACCATCACTTTAAATGAATCATATGTCAATCTGTCAAAGGCCCCAGAGTGAAGAAAAGTGTTAAGTAGAGGCGACGATTCTGGAGCTTTTATTTTTAATCACTCCCTGCGCTCTTATCTGCTGATCTTCTTGCAGCCTGTGGTCTCGGTGGCACCGTGATAATGACATCGGTGATATTCAGGTCACACTGCGGTGTGATTACTCCTTGGAGTCTCCGGGTCGCACTAATCAATATTTCCTGAGGCAAAGCAGTGAAATACAGTGAGAGGTTGATGTTTAAAACTTATTTAATAAATGAATCACCTCTGCCAAAAAAACACGAGTCTTTCGCTCTTTCTAATTTGCTAATAGCTTTCTATGAATATTTCATATCAATCCTTTTGGACAGCATTTGATATAAAGTTTGAATGTGGCACTGCCTTTCCAGTAATCTGTCTGACCCGCTTCTTACTTTACCATAGACTCAGAGATCATATAAACTGCACGCAAATTCTTCTGCACAATCCATATATGGTACGTCCTTTATTCACAGTAGGTCAAAGTACCTCAGCAGTACTTTAAATTTAACAATATTTTTAAACATATTTTAAACATTCTGTTAACACATATAGGAGAGCAGGAACCAAACTAATTGATATAAATAAATATATTTGAAACACATGCCAAAAAGTACTTTCAATCTCAATGATTAGAAATATTTGGGGTTTTCTTTGTCATTGTAGTAATTAATTAAGTTTCTGATTCCAGGTCACTACAGGATGATCCAAACAGTAATTAGAACTAGCCACAAACGCACACAGTGAGTCTGGAAATTCCAGAATTTGTCACGACTTCAGACTCGATGCAGAGATAAAGGTAAGGCTGCAGTCCCTGGGTTTGCACTCAACATTTGCCACTCAGGAGCAGCAAAGGGAAGGAATAACAATGAAAAACGTATTGGCTGTGAAATCTGAATCAACAGATCTTCTGCACGATGCGGTGTGAGCTGGAGGTGAGTATTGAATTTATTTTCTTTGTCACAATCCAAGTCTGTTCTACAGTAGCTGTTGCCAAAATCTCATTTTGAGTTACACCTTGCAAATCCAAGCAGAGATAAGGATTCTGGGTCAGCTGAGCCCACACTCACCACTTCAAACGTAAATCACAAAAATGTGTGATAAGACGTGCTTCAGTTGTTGACAATAGAAATGTGCAGAATCTCAGTTCAACTAATTATGTGAACAGTGGGACAGCATTCCACACCAGGGTCAAACGTTTCTGTGGATCAGTGATTCATATTTGAATTTATGAGGCTTTAAAGGAAGCACAAGAATAACAGTCTTTTTTAAATTGATAAACTGAGACACGACAGACAGTCAGAGTGTAGAAAATAGACCTCAATCTGACCAACAAGAGTGTTGTAGCCACTGATTGTGTTTCTTCCACCAGATATAATAAAGGTAAAAAAAAAAGACACACAACACCATCGTTTCTCAATCACATAACTGTCCTGGTTCTTTCTAAATCAATTCCATCTGCTCCAAGTGGAGTCAAACTTTTCACTTTGTTACTTCATTTTAAAAGAAAGACAGAGGCTGAAACATCAGTTCATGCTCACACTCTGATCTGCACTGATGCACTTGTGACATCACACAGCTCACACAGAAACACCGCCAGCGGAACGTCTTTTTATTACCTGCCTAAAAATAACGGCAGAATAAAAGTTGTAAAAGGTAATTGCTGCAAATCCAACATAAATAATTCAGATTAGACATAGAAATGGTCTCTGGGACTTAAAAAAATAGGCCAGATGTCTTCTTTTTCCTCAGTTTATAATTGGATTGCACATGAAGTCATGACTAAAAAAAATGCATCTTTCTCTAAATGGGTGGATTAAATATAACAACTTAAAAATCTGTTTGCTGTAAACCCTCATCCTACTGTAAAATAGAGAACTCCTTTAGCACTTACTGGCTTTACTTTTCTGCCATATCTTTTCACTCTTTTCAAACACTCTTTTCTATCCAGTCTGGATATATTACATTCTCAAAGTTTAAAATTAAAATTAATAATTGATGCTAACTTGATGCTAACTAATCAACCATTTCCATGAGTAAGTTCCTCCTTACCGCGGTGCCCTCTACGATGTCCCTCCAGACAGGTTTGTCGCCACTGCCCTCACTGAAGTCCAGCAAGTTGTCTACCACAACCTGACCAATCAGATCGTGTCTGGAGAAGCGGTCAAAGTCATAGACGGAGAAATGCAGCTTCCTGGAATGTAACTCATTCAGCGGCACGCCGAACTGAAAAGTCTCATTGAAGACTGGGTTTAAGGTCTTTCTGTGAACCTGGAGCAGAAACAGACACCGCAGGAATTTAGGACACGTTTCATTATGTGGGACACCAATGTAGAGTGTGGCCACCTGTAGGTAGGAGGCAGTAAGGAGGAGGAACAGCTCAGAACACAGCACAGTAGTAGACGACGGTAGTAGAGATGAAAGGCTTACTACATAAACGATAATTAATGAGTTCCAATAAAGTTTTTAAGTGTTTTTGATTGACTGCTTTATTCTGTTACTAAAAAGTAATGGCTGTTACCTTGGAGGACACTAATTAGGTGCAAATAAAAAAAGTTGCCTGCCATCTGCTAGAGTGAAATGATGTTTTATTTGTTGGTTATATGAATTTGTCACACTATAAACTATGTACAAATGAAATATGGAAGGCCATCAGGGCTTTGTAACACATCACATACCACGAAGGTGGGCAGATTTGTGTTTTTTATTTTCACAGGAGATTTTAGTCACCGACAGTTTAAAAAAATATTTTTAAAAATATAGTCGGTAACTACATTTTAGCAATTTTTTCATCTCGCTAATTTCTGACTCCAGAAACAAACTTTCAAGATGTATCAGATTAGTACAAGGTGGAACAAATATGTTTCAATTATAACAGAAAGTCACCATCTCCAGATTTTTATTTAAAATAGTATTTGTATTTTATAATAATATTCAGAAACATTATTATGAAAGTTAACATAAACTACATTTGACATCTTCGTCCTACCACTTACTACATATGAAAATGTTAATGGTTTTGTTTTGTTTTGTTTTGTTTTTCTACAGGAGCGTTTGTTTCCTAAACAACAAAAACAGGAAGTTCCTCCATATCAGCAGCGGAGGAGACAGTGTTCGTGTTTCCACAAACACAGTGAGTGCTGTCAACCAGGTTTTTATAGTGTGATGCTTTGGTCTGAGACTCAAATACAACTGTCTATATAAAAGTCTCATCTGTGAAAACAGCACTTACCTGTGAAACACAGAGTGGAGCTACTTCTCTGTGAAAGCTCTCACTGCTGTTGTGTTACCAGTGTTAAATCTTTATCTATATACAGGAGATGAGGCCGACTTACAGTTCTCCAGATTATTTTTCTGCCTCTCCTTTAACATCTACTTTTTTGGGGCATTGTTATCATGGCCTAAACATTTATGTAAACACACTAAAACCTAAAGCCAAGTGAAGTCAATATTGTTTGAACAGTCAAAATTCACATAAAACGTTTTTGTTTGTTTTTTTTTTTGTTTTTTTTTGACCAGATAACGCTGAACTCTACAGAATCCAGAGCTATAACTTTGAGTGGTTACACGGCACAGACTTGTGCACAGAGGTTTTTAGGCCCATTCAGTACTGGCTACGCTTTCATTTGTTTTGTTTTGTTTCGTTTTTTTTTTTTTTTTCTCATTTCCAAACCACCAACCACCAACCCTATTATGGTTTATTCAAAAACAAACAGGCTACATAAAAGCGATCACTTCCTGTGAGCCATCTGTCTTTTTTTAATCCTCACACAGGAGCAAACACAGCCTTGTTGTGAATATAAAAGCTTGATTAACTGTCTTTAGGATGAATCACGTCCTGCTAAAAGCAGCAAAAAAAAACAAAAAAAAAACACACAAACTAAAAAAAAAAAAGACACAGTTACA